AGCCGCCACCCCCGGCCGGGAGGGGCTGCCAGCAGCTGCCACGGAGAGATGAGGTCTGTTTAGTGCAGGGTTTAGCTAGAGCAGAGGAGGTGGGAAGCAGAGGGTGCTGCAGCCCCTCTGGCTCCGGTGCGGCCACGAGGCGGCAGCCCCGGCACTCCAGAGGCGCTGGCAGCGGCTCCTGTCCTGAGGGCCTGGCGGGCCTCACTCGCCCTAGGGAAGAGGAAGGCTGGGAGTCTGGTGGGCTGTATTCCCACTACACCAGTCCTCCCTGCCCTTAGTGCTTCAGTGCAGGGAAACCCAGGAGAAGAAGGAATGCAGCTGAGCCCCAGCGGCTGCGCTGTCTGGAGCCAGGCTCAGCCCAACCTGCTCCACAGCCTCAGCTGGGCCTCCTGCCTGGAAATCCCTCCAGCAGGAGCGGGGCAGGCAGCTAGAAGTGAATGACCAGAGGCTAAAGGACAGGAAAACAAGAGAGGTGAATATCCCAGACCGCTTTACTCCACATGCGGGCAGGGACCTAGATGAAGAACCTGCAGCAGAAGCATCCAATGCAGACAATAGCCCCCACTATGAATGGAGGCGGAGGGCAGCTGGCAAAGGAGACAAGAAAACGGTCCAGAGACCTAAATTAAATAGCACTTGCAAGATGGTAATAGCAGGCTGGGACCTTGGAGGTGCAAGAAGAGATATGGCTGATCTGAAGGCTAGAAGCAAAGGAAAAAACAGATGAAAACATGGTCTCCCTGTAACCAGTACAGGCTCAAGGAGGATCAGATGGACAAGAACCTGGAGAAGAAGCAGCTGAGAGACAAGTGCTAGGGATGAGGTGGATGACACTATGGGAAGGAGACCAAGCAAAGACCCTCGTGACCCTGCCGAAGGAAAGAGGAAGGGACACGTGGCTTCCCTCAGAGCAGAGCAGCACCTGCTGAGTCCCTAGCTGGAAGTAACGGAGAGAGGGGAAAGGAGATTAGCTGAAGGTCATGGGACTACAGGAGTGCAGATTAGACAGTGGTGTGCAGCCTTGCGACCGCGCAGCCCAACACCCTGCTCTGCTGGAGGGACAGAGCGAGTTTCGACCAAGCTCTCGGACCTTCAGTTTTCAGAGGCCTTCCAGCTGGGCACAGGGACAGAGGGTGAGTTTCTGCTGTCCGCAGCCCCAAGGAGAGCCCAGCACAATGACAGTGTGCTTTTGGCTCCTCAGTACCGGAAAAGCAGAGGACAGAGCACAAGCAGCACTTGAGGGAAAAACAGAAGAGTGTCATATTATGAGATGACCAGGCTAACTCAGCTCCATTCAGCAGGGTGCAGAGATGATAATTAGGATAACCAGCAGTGCTGAGAAGACAGAAGGGGCCAAACCTTGCTAAAGATGGGAAGCTGAAGAGGGAGCTCCAACGGTACCTGCACCTAGCTGGTGGCTTTTTAAAGCAAAGCACTAACAAAGCAAGTGGGTGGAGGCAAGGTTGCCCTACACCACAAGAAGATTAAGGTGGGACCCTGCCCGCTCCCCCAGATTTGGTGCCAGCCATGCCAGGGAGGGAGAAGGACGGGGTCCAAGGCATGGCTAGCATCAGGCCAAGGGAATCGCAGGCTCCAGGCTCGCAGGCATGCTGTGGAAGGGGCTTGCTGCAGTGCGAGGCAGGAGGTGGCTCTGTGGGTGGCAAGCCCCACAGGGCTCTGTGATCACTTCCCTTACACACAGAGGCGCAGGTGGGTTGCCACGATCTCCCAGTGCAGACTGAGTCACCGATTAAGACTGCTGATGGCTACCACAAGCCCTGGCAAGGGGCAGGACAAGGGCGCTTGCCAGTTCTCAGGCAAAGGGACACATCTGAGGAGGATGTCCTCCTGCACCAAGAGTGATGCTGCACATTCAAGGCCTGGGAGCACCAGGCGGCGCACACGTGTCCCTAACCCACCATGTGCCATTGCGCCCCAGCACAGAGAACAGCTGGGATGGGAAGGTGCCACCAGCCTTGGAGGAGCACAGCCAGGACAAGGCTTCTTTGCTGACCTTCACAGGCATTTGGAAGCTTCTGGCTACCAACACCATCGCAGCTCAAGCAGTAGGTTTGGGGGGGTCCACAGAGAGCTCCAGCAAGCCCAGATGAAGAATGGGAGCAGGAAGAAGCAGCCTCCTGGAGAGAGATGAGCACTCGTGAGGATAACTGAGGCAGCCCTCCTGAGAAGGCTCAGAACATGATGGCTCTGCTATCACCGTCTTACTCCCCCGCAAGGTGTTAGCAGTGAAAAGTTGCCAGACACACCTGAATCAGGGCCAACTGCTAGTGAAGCACTCAAGCATGAGCGAGGGGTCCCCTCTGTGCCATGTACCACAGCTACCACCACCTCTGTTTTCACAACTCCGATTGCTCTGCTCTCCTTTGGGGGCAAGGAGCAACTACAAAAACAGGAGCGTTCCTGTACCCTCTGAAGGCAGTAGCAGTGGCAGGTACCCGCTTTGCAAGTGATGGAGTATGAGAGATGAGGCTGCAGCTTGCTCCCCTGGCCTCAGACATGCATCAGCCTAGCTGGAGTGACCATCGCAGGCTCTGTCCTGCCAGCTGATTGTACCCTCTGCAGCATGCACCACCCAGCCAGTCAGCAAGGCAAGGGGGATGCTCTTTTCTTAGGCATAAAAACAGCAAGAAAGATGAAAAAGCAGGGAGGGAAGGTCCATGGCAGTGCTTAATGGGCAACACTAGGCCAAGGTGCTGAAGGATGCTCTCAGCAGCACTGAGGCAGGAAGTTTGCTTCTGCAGGGGGAGAGAGAAGGGACAAAGGTGCTGCCTTGCCAGGCATGCTGCCAGCCGGGGGTAGGTGGCAAGGGACAAGGGCCAACACTTGCCCTAGTCCTGGCAGCCTCATGGGGTGAAGGAAAAAGAGAGAAGTCTTGCAACTGCCTGTGAGATTCCCTCTATGCACCCGCCTGCCCTTGCAGCTGGCATGGGAGCAGCACTCATGGCACCCTGGTACAAAAGGGACCAGGCAAAGAAGGCTCCCCTGTTCATGGGAGACCCGAGTATGCTGCAGGCTCAGGCAACTGTATTTTCTCCATCGTAAGGCGGGATAGCTGGACATGGGCAGGTAGAGCAGGGTATGTGACGTGGCACCCTCCACCTTGGCTGGGACTGGGAGCTCCTTGGCACTGCTGCCCTCAGGGAGCATTTAAGGGCTACTAGGAGAAAACCAGAGTGCATCCAGCTGTGGTAGTGGCTGACACAAAGGGGAGGAAAAAAGAAGAGCATGAATCCACCAAGAGGCACAAATCCAAGCCTGAACTCCCAGCCACTTAGATTAGTTCAGAAGCAGGACAGAAAACTGCAAGAGAAAAGGAGAAAGAGAGAGAGTGCGAGCAAGAGAGAGAGAAGAAACGAGACCCTGAAAAAACAACATACTATTCCCGCTCCTCTCGCTCCGTCTGCCAGCGTCGGCGCCTGGGGGCACAGAAACAGAAAGGGAGAGGTTACAACCATGGGAGCAGGTGCTGGGTCTCCTCCTTCGCAGGGAGCTACGCACCCGACATGGCTCCACACCGTCCTGAGGAAGAGAAACCTGCTGATGGTCAGGCTGGAGAAGACCTTCCTTCCGGAGCCCAGCACCACCCTAAGCCACAACAACCCGGAGCCCCCGCCGGCCCAGGGGCAGAGCGCTTTGCTGCCAGCTAAAGGGAAGCTGGCTTTGCTGGGAAGGTGGCCTGGCTCCACACCATGGGCGTCCCAGGGAGCTCCTGAGGGATAGGGCCAGGCAGGACAGCCTGCTGGGGCTGCCTGGCTGCCATCTGAGCTTCCCTTCCATGCCTCTCCTCCCCACCCAGGCAGCCAACACACTTGCATCCCGCCCTCCTGAAATGCTCATCCCACCCTGTAGATGGACCAAACAGCAGGGGCTCCTCCCTGGGATCCCAGTCCTGGTGATCCACAGCCCTTACCACAGCCATGATGTCTCTCCCTCGCCAAACAGCTGGCACCCCTCTGCCTTTCTGCCTACAGCCACTGCTCCTACTCCCTTGCACCTAAGGTGCTTCAAGCATTGCCTCCAAGACGGGCCACCCCTCTCTCCCCACTGAAGGCCAGAGCTGTGCAGCCCCTGTGGCTACCAGGGAGCGCCTGATTCCAGATAGCTTAACCCTGAGGACCTGCTGCCCTCTCCCCAGTGAGGTCTCATACGGCTATTTCCTTCTCCTCACTTTCCCCCAATGCCCCCCGATTTCCCGAGCCAGGCCAGGAAAGGAGGGGCAGAGGAGCCACAGGGACACAGCTGCTTATCTCATGCTATCCAGGACCAGAAGAGTTCCTGGTTTGGTGCTGAAAACAACTCAATCTTTCCACTGTTGTACAGGGAGTGCTCAAGAGCAGCTTGCTTGAATCTGTATTGCCAAAGGAACCAGAGAGGCTGGAGCTCAGCCCCATCTGACCCTTTGGGCATGACGAGCTCGTGGAGTTGATCAAGGGGAGGAAGAACCTACCACAGCCAGCCTTCAGAAGGCACACTTTACCTCCAGCATGTGACAAAGCACCACGGGCACAGCAAACCACTCCTGGAGAGAGGTGGACTACCTGCACAACCCCTCTAGCTTAATCAAGGAGAGCTCCTTGTTCTGCACTGGAAGAAAATAATCATTGTCCTTCCTGCTGCTGTCAGCAAAAATAAGAATAGCATCTCACTCTGTGGAGCTGTCATCCCCAATGGGCCCTGGCTTTTGCCAAATGACACTGTAGCCCACGAATTCATTGGGCAGGAAGGATCCATACCCAGACCAACTCCTCAGCACTTGGGATGCGAGCTAAACTCACGTTAGCACCTGGAAACGCAGCCCACCACTTTCAAGTGCTCTTAACAAGAGCTGCATCCAGCAGAGACACAAAGACACCTTCCGAGGCTTAACAAAGCCTTCACTGTGGCAGCCCTCACCCTTCCTGTGACCTCTTTTCCTCTCTCCTCCCTCCATCTGCTGTTCCTCTGTAAGAGCCCCTGCACACCTCTGTCACTCTGTAGGGGCCATAGGTAATATGGAGCCAGTGGGGACCACTCCCTGTGTTGGGAGAAGGATGCTGTAACAAAGAAGCCAGTAAGCGGGCATTTTTCCTGTTCCTGGAGCTCAGGGGATACAACTGGCATGCTTGACCCTCCTCCCCAGCTGCCTCCGGCACATGCCTTGTTTTCCTGCCCCTCTCCCACGCTTACCTGTCAGCATCAGTCACCAGGGCCAGGCGTCCGTAGTCCCAAGCAACTTTACGCAAAATTGAAAAGACAAACAACAGTGCCTAGAAGAAAGCAAAGGAGAAACTGTGAGATGAGGCATTGTCCAGCTCTGTCCTCATCCTCTGCATGCAGAGCCACAGGAACAGGGAGGGTAGGAGGGGACAAGACTGCTCAGTATACTGAGGCCATGGGACAGCAGAAGTTCCCCAGGGCTGTTAAAATCAGACTATCTGGATGGCTGTGGGAGGCAGAGGTCCAGGATGCAACACACAGTAGCTAAGTTAGCCACAGGATCAAAAGGCTTTCAGGTCTCAAAGAGGCAAGATTACGGCTACAGCATCTGTGGTCCTGCAGTTCTTAAGGAGGAACAAGCAAAGCCTTTGGGTGGGTAAAGCTGCAGTGATTTGGCACCATAAGCAGGCGTTTTGGGATGCAGGACTGACCTAACCTGACCCATGTCCTTAGGAAAATTTGCAACAGCCTTCCATGGGCTCAGTGCGATGGTACTGGAGTTAAGTCAATAGCGGCTAAGCCCACAGTGGCTAAGGGACACAATGAGGGCCATAAAGTCCGGGATGGCATTTGGGGCCCTCAATTCTAACCACCTGACCACAGTCCTCCCTTCACAGCTAATTAGGGGAGAAGGTGCTGGAGCAACAGTAGGTAGACTTACGAGAAAGCACATAAAGTCGAGGGCTAGGACGGTGGGCACCCCACCGAAGGGCAGCCCCTGCAGCACAGTGCTGCGGATGCGGGCACTGTAGCAGTAGTCCTTGGTGCTGTTGTTGCATGTGGAGGCTTTGCAGGTGGCCCCTGCTGAGCCCAGGGTGGCGATCACGTAGGGAAGCATCTCTACAGCTTCATCGTCTTCCCTGGGGAAAGGAGAGAAAGGCCTGGTTAGATGCACACCAGCTGGACGACAGCATAGCCCTGCTGGAGTCAGGGGCCAACCTTGCCTGCTATATCAGGCTCCTCTGCGCTATAGGATTTCCCTGGGAACCAGTGTCCAGGGACAAGGTCATCTGGAGAAGCCTGCTGAGTTTGGGGGGTGCTGGAAGAGCCTGGGTGCTTCAGCAGCTATGGTCCCACAACGCACAGTCCCAGAGCTCCCTTCTTTGTTCCCCAAGTCTCACGCCATTTAAGTGCACCCCTTTCTCACGGACAACTACTCTTCTTGAGGACACGGTGTCTCAGCTCCTTCCCCTCAGCAGGGAGAACGTTGAGGTACAGGAAAGAACTAAAGGGTGGGGTGGTGGGGACATGAAGTCACGTCTGGATGATGGAAACAAACTGCTACAGGGCAGTTGCTGCATCATGATCCCACAATTTCCTTTGCCTGGCTGCGTGCCATTGGCTTTATTAGGCTGAATCACCACCTCCATTCACTGCAGGCCTCAGCCCCAGCTCCCAGGGCACCCATCAGGGGCTGGTTACACCTCCTGCTTGTTTTCTTTCCTTCCTCTGACTTGGATGCATTTAGATGCAACCACACAGAGGGCAGAGAGGAGGCTTAGGCTCTATTATTTAGCTGGTCAAATATTTTATTTATTTCAGTACCCTCCCCGAATTGCTACAAGACCCGCAGCGGGGCTTGAGTTAGCATCACTGCAGGATCACTGCTTGGACATGGGGAGATCTTCCTCTTGTGCAGAGCAGCTCCATGGGAAACACAGAGAAGACCATGCTAGCAATGGATAAATGCAAATTGAGCATCACCGGCATGGTCCAGAAACGACAAATCGACAGCAGAAACACAACCGCTTTGTGGAACGGGGGAGATAAAACCCCATCAGCTGCAGAAGGAAGCAGCGATAACAGACAGGAAGATCCACCCAGGCTGCCGATCCCTGAACCACCCCTCTTATCCAGCATCCACCAACTACCCCAAATCCTTCACTACCAGCACATACCATACAGAAAGGCTGGCTGGCACAGCTTCACTTCTGGGCAACACTCAGGGGCTCTTTACCCAAGCCCAGAAATGCCATCCTGGTGGGCTGGGCAAAAGAGCTGTCACTCGCCCAAAGCACGAGAAAGCCACCACCACTGCCCTGTGCTGCCTTCAGCCTCTTGTCCCAGAGATGCCCCCTGCCACCAGCCCTGCCCTTCTAGCTCTGTGTTGGATGGTGACACTAGCGGAGAGGGCGCAGGGCTCTTCCCTCCAGCTCATGGGTATATCCTGGCAATCTCCTGCCTGGCTGCAGAGATTTAATCAGCATCACAGCACAACGCTGGCTGGATAACGACCACCAAACCACTCGCTGCGGTGTCCTAGAGAGCTCGGCTTCAAAGTGATCCCTCCTGGCTCAGCTGGTACAGATGCACAGCTGCAAACCAGCTGAAACACCAATGACAAAGGGCACCGCGACAAGCAAAAGCCCAGCTGGGTACAGGCATTGAGGGTGGTCAGCCAAATTGGAAAAGCCACCAAGCAGCCTGTTAAGAGTTATTCACAGGTACAAAGCTGGAGCAGGGCTGGCGGGAGCAGAAAAAGGGAGTAGAAAAGCAGGAAAAGAAAGCCAAGCCATGAGATCACAGTTGGGAACCAAGTGGGGAGCCAGGCAGGATAATTCACCCTGGCTGAATTAACGAGAGACTCGGAAACTCCAGGGGAAGGATGGGAAGAAATGATGGGATGAGACTCACCAAAAGAAAGTCACACGCTTTGGAGTGTGAATGGTTATAGCCCTCTGTTTCTACCTCCGAAGCGCCAGCCTAGATGAACTCATTGCAAAGAGAAATACCCCTCATTCCTCTTTTTGGGAATCTTGTAAACTTTTAGGTTGTAAATGGTATCTTGCAACAACGAGTTCCAGATGTTGAGTAAAAGACTATGACCCCACTGCAATTCCACAGCCTTCAGTTCTCCTTGCATAGTGAGAAAAGGCAAAGAATAAAAGTCTCTGCTTTTTCTAGACCTACTAAGCTCACTACTATTAAGTGCCCTCTCCTTCCTATAACACGAGATGTCTTCCAGCTCTAACCACTCTCACCGCACATCCCCAATATATCCTCTCTTTTGATGCTACGGAAAGGTGACCAGAACCGCATACGATATCCTGGGTAGGGAAGTGACCTTGACTGCCAGAACAGCATCCTGATGCTCTCAGCATCTCTCCTTACGCTACTGCTTGTGCAGGTGAGCATGATTTACTTCTCCGATGGCATCTTTGTGTATTGAGGAAAAGCATCTCTGTAACCAGCCTGCAATGTTGCTGCCCTGAGTAGCCACGGGAATTTAGAAGCTAGCCGTGCCCCAGAACAAATCATTCCTTCCAATACGCCCTGCACGCTTCTCAGTACCCGCTTTCTCATCGCCTCACACCACTTCGCTTCACGTGGTGTCACTTTGGAGTCACTTCATCTTTACAAATCTGAATGACTCCAGGGTATCGGCAGATTTTGGGTACCTTGCTGCACATTATCTTTTCTGGGTCATTAATATCAAAGGACCTCATGCCTCTGCTCTTGTCTCACACTGAAATTCCTCATTCACTCCTAGGCTTTGTTTGTGGACCCTCAGCCAGTTTTTGATCCAGGACTCTATATCTCCTCCAGCGGACAGTTTTCTTGGCAGTCTTTTGAGAGGAATTTCAGAGGTTTTCTGAACATCCAAGCAAGTTACACAAGCTGGCCGAATATTACCTACTATTTTATCGAAGTACTGAAAGACTTCCAACAGATCAGGGAAGTATGATTTTCCTCTGCAGAGACCAAACTGTTTACCTCATTCCTGCATGTTTTATAGCCCCATTTTCCGGTCGTCTTTCTAAAAGAAATGAGGCTCATATGCTCACATTGCCTACGACCCTATCATAATCATTATTTGTACAAACCATTATGTGTTCAAGACAAACTTTGCAAGCCTATGGGTAATTTAAACCACGTTTCACAGAGACAGGTCCCAGAGATGTTTTTTTTTTTTCTGAAGCCTAGAGGATGGGCTGGAAGGGACTGGAGATAAACCTTCCTAGCCTTTCCAGTAACCCAGCCAGAACACCCACTAATGGAAAAGCTGTGGCATATGCCCAAGGCTTACACTGCCTTTTCATTAGCCCAGCAAGGCGGCACAGCAGCAGTCAGCACCATCCTTAGGTATGCAACCTCCCACCTTGTTGGTAAGCACAAGAAGGGGCTCCCCATGGAGACAGTGGTGCTTCAGGTGTGTGGGAAGGCTGGGAAAGCTTGCAGGGATGTCTGGAGCACTTCTGCCCTTCCGGCTCCCCCAGCTGCAGGCACACCTGGCAGCAGGCTAGAGGCGACCTGCCGCCACATCACTTCAGCCAAACCCACCAAGGTGCCCAGCTTCTTCTGGGGTTACAACACTAATTAGGCAACTAAGAAAAAGCTTGGTGACCATCTCTGCAGTCTCAATCAACAGTGCCTACCTAGTATCCTTCATCCAAAGACCTTTTCCAGGAGCCTATCAGCTGAGCAGGAGGCTGGCTGGTCTTGCCAGACACAGCGCAACCCGTGGGCCTGGCAATACCTCTGCCCTCACGCTCGGTTTGCACCTTGGTATCAGACAGCCACTCCAGGGGACCCTCTGTCCCCGCCCTCAGTCAGGCAGGGCATGCTGCAATGTGTCCCGTGTTGCAAGGTAGTCCTGGAGGCAGCCCATGTTGGGTGCAGGGTTTTAAGCAAAGCACAGGCGGGGAGGAAAGGCAGCACTCGCAGCGAGCACAGTCTTGTGGCACAGCAGCCTACTTCCCGATTATGAAAGGAAATCCCCTCTGGCAGCGCAGGAGGGAGAAGGGGACTTCTCCAGCAACAACTGCCTCCCTCCCCAAATACACCCGATGCCCTGCCTCCACCCAAGGAAGATATGGTTTTGCAAAGCTTTCTGTTCAGATCCCACTGCCTGCCTCTGGGGAAGGACCCTGGGTGCCTCCTCACACCTATCCTGCCACCGCAGGTAAGAGAGCCCCTGTGACCACACAGGCTGTGCTGTACCGGGACGTGGTTAAAGATGCCTTTCCTGGTCCCTCCTTCCCCTCGAGGGCTGTAGGACAGGGCAAGCTTGGCTCCGCCTGGGCTGAGATGCTAACATCAGCACGAACTCCTGCGTATCAAGAGAGCCAAGGCGCAGAGTGCTGGTGGGAAGCTGTTGCGAGGGCTGGGGCGGTGGGAACCAGCCCGAGGCGTCGAAGCCCTTTCCTGACCGTGAGCACGGCTTCCCACCACAGCACACAGCGGATCCAAGGAGGCAATAAGAGCAGGACATCAGACCAGGTCCCATGCAAGCCCCAGAGCTTCCCCTCCTGAACTCTGTGCATTTAATGTTGGCTTCCTCAAAACAGCAAGGACAGCACAGAAAGACTTGCCAAAAGGCATTTTTGGCTCTTATTCAGCAATACTGGACTCCAGCCCCTTCTCTATGAGCAGCGGGAAGGATGGAGGGAGGAACAGCAGTCCCTCTGCTTCCCCCATCCCCAGAGAAGCTTGCTCCCTGCCCCACACCACAGCCTCTACGTCCCCAGCAGGACTGGCGTGTCCACACTGCCCCATGTTTCTACCCCCACGTCAGGAGCAGAGACATCCCACTTCCTAGCTGAAGTCCCTAAAGCACATCCCACCAGGCCCTGCAGTGCACGCAGCCTCCAGCCCAGCTCCCGCCTGCTAAACCCTGTGCAAATGCAGTCCTAGGAACCGCCACTCTCGAGGGCTTGGCAGACCCAGCAGGGCAGGGGCTCTCCTCCTCCTCGCCTTTGTCCTTGGCCTGCAGGTCAGCACAGCTCGCTGGGTTTTCGTCTTTGATGAGCACCCACGTAGGAGCCAAGCAAGCCTCCATGCTCCCTTTCTGAGGGAAGAAGGTGGCATGAGGCTGGGAATGCCAGGATGACATGCCTT